GCGCACGTGCCCTATAGCAAAAACCTCTAAAAAAAAAAAAAAGTTTAAAAAGAGATTGAAGAGATTGAAGGAGATAGGAATGTGGCATGATCAGCCCTCCTGGGGGGTTGATTTCTCACTGTCTCTCTCTCTCTTTGGAAAGCCCATGTGCCCTATAGAAAAAACTAAGAAGAAAGAAAGAAATAGATCTTACTAAAAATGCAAATCTATTCAGACCACTTTCCTTTTTACACACCTTAAATGTTTCCTTATCACCCACCTGATGAAAGCTCTTGCAGGCCCCACTCCTTTATCTCTTTTCTTTTTTCTTTTTTTGGAGAGGTTTTTGCTATAGGGCGCGTGTGCTTGCCAGACAGACAGAGCGAGACAGAGAGACAGAAAGCAAGAAATCACCCCCCAGGGGGGACGGTCACGCCACAATCCCTTCTCCTCCATTCTCCTCTTGGGATCTTGGGCACGCATACACACACACATGCCTGGCGCGAGCTTAAGCCACCGGGTCCAGGACTTGAACCACGGTTAACTATGTGGGAGTCCAGTGACATAGTCATTACACTAACTGCTAGTCCCTCTCTTAAGAATTAAGAGGATTTTTTGTTTTGTTTTGTTTTGTTTTTGTTTTTTTGCCGTTTGGCATGTGTGCTCACTGGAGAGAGACAGAGACAGTGAGAGGGAAAGCGAGAAATCATCCCCCAGGGGGGATGGTCACGCCGCAATCCCTTCTCCTCCATTCTCCTTCCAGGATGCACGCTCAGGGTCCAGGACTCAAACCACAGTCAGCCATGTGTGAGTCCAGCGTCGTAACTGCTACACCATCTGCTGGTCTCCCCATTCCCTTTTCTAACTTTGTCTTCCAGCAGCATCCCCAAAGCCCTTGTGACTCAAGTCCTCCCAAGCCCACAGGTTTCAGGGCTTGACAGGTGCTTGTACTTCTTGGTGCCTTCCCATGTGATGGACAGGCCCACTATCTAAAATGAGTCCCCATTCCAGCCACCTGTCAGCATTTTTTTAAGATTCAGTTAAACATCACCACTTAATTAACATTCACAAACCTCTCATCTTGGTTCCAGAGCAACCCAAAATATATAAGTAAACAGGTACTTTAACAAAGCAGCAATGTTTTGGTGGTTTGGTAACTATCTGTTTACTTGTGGTTCTCCCTAGCCAGTCAGTGAATTCCTACAATGGAGGGGTTTTATGTCTTCGGAAACAGACACAGCATCTGGCAGGCAGTAAGCATTTAGGACTTTTTATTAAGCAAAAGAGGAAGAAGGAAGGGAGAAAATGTCAAAGGAAAACAAAGGAGGAGGGTAGGAAGAAAGGAGAAAAAACTGAAAACTTACGGATTCCAATGTTCTTTCGAAATCCTATAAAGACTGGAAAACATGATGGGAAGGATGACATTAGAGTTTTCTTCTATCAAACTCATGATGTATTCATTATTCCAATAATAGAGTGCCCTTTCTGCCACCTTTGGGGGGAGAAAAAAAAAAACATTGAGAGAGAAGAGAGAGAAAATTATCATTTTTCCAAACAAATATATTTTAAAAGACAATTTTTAAAAGGCACTCAATCATGTGAAAAATTAAATATGAATCACATTTTACATTTTTGCAATTTAAAATCTCTCATTAAGTTTCAAAGTGGTTTATCAATTTGGAAAAAGAAAAATGTAAGTTTTCCTATCTGTTAATTTAGTTTTCCTCTTATTCTGCCCACGTCATCTGATTCTGTATTTTCCCTACGCAGCTCCCAAGCTCCAAACATCTTTACCCTACTTCCACATACCACACTTTCCCCCATCACTTTGGCCACCTTCTCGCTCCCCTCTCCTGGCTCGCCGCTTTCATCCCGCACCCTTCAGATCAACCACGGGCCCAGCACATGGCTGGCATTCAGTCACTGCTGTTGAGGAAAACCCACCACTGCCCAGCCCCACAGAGCAACTGCATTTGCTAACGGCACCTCATCTGGCCAGGCACTGTGCCTGCACTGCAGGTAGAATGTACCGTCCTTACACCCATCAGGAGTAGGCACCACTGTGCTCATCTTAGAGGTTCAGAGAGACTACGTCATCTACCCAAGGTGACACTGCAAATAAGTGGTAAAAGAAAGGGACCCAAGTCTAGGGCCTAGGCTCTCTCCAGAACTCATTTCTGGTGTGTTCTTTTGAAACAGGCAAGCCAGATGACTGCTCAGATTTTGGGCTCAGGACACACTGCACGCACACCTGCTTGCTATCTCAGAACTACGCTATAAATCGACTCTAATTTGGTCTGCTGAGCCTGAGATGCTCATTTTAGATTTCATGAATTCAACGAAATAGCTCAAAAACTTAACCTAAAATCTCTAAAACTGGCAGTTAGAGAGGAAAAGAAAGAAAACAAAAGGAGTGGCTTCATTCATACAGATGAAGAAATTGTGTTTTAGAAGAAAACAAAGGGTACAAAATGCACCACCATTAGATTCTGAGAAATTAGAACCTTTCCATTTACATTATTCACTTGGTTCAAAAAAAAAGGAGGGGGATTCCTTAGGTTCTAGACCCTAAGAGTATAAAGAACACCATGGCTGGAAGTTCGCTACAAGGCAAGCACTGTGCTAAGTGTTCTATGTTTATCAATCATCACAACAACAGAACTGGACTGTTATTTCTAATTTGTGGAAGCAAAAACTGAGGCTCAGAAGACAAATGACTGGCTCAAGATAACATGGCTAATGGCTGCAGCCTCCGGAGTCTCTGCTCTTAAGCTCTTACTGCCGTCTCTACGGAGTTCACACACTGCATGGGAAGCAGACATAGGAGAGCCTACCCAACGTAAACCGTGACCAATGCTGTATCAGATACAGGAATAACAAGTCAGAAGAAAGACTAGAACAATCTGATGACACGGGGAAAGAAGGTGGCAGAAACCTAACATAGGAAATGGCATATGAGCTGGGCTCAGAAGGACGAAGGAAAAGTCATTCCCGGCAAAGGGAATCCCAGGAAAGAAGGGCAGAGGCATTGGTGTGGACAATGAGTTTGAAAGCCATTAACGGAAATGGTGTGGCTGACCAAGGTCGGCACTACAGAAGGGAGGAGAGAACGAGAAGAGAAATGGGAATGAGGCTATCCTAAAACTAACAACTGAAAAAGAAGTTTCCAAAGAGAACATAGGAAGATGTTAGTAAAAAAGGAATCTCAGATTTTCCTATATTGGGAATCAGCAGTTAGCGTAATGGCTATGTCGCTGGACTCCCACGTAGTCGACCGCGGTTCGTGTCCCGGACCCGGTGGCTTAAAACTCACGCCGGGCGCGTGTGCGTGCGTGCCCAAGATCCCGAGAGGAGAATGGAGGAGAAGGGATTGCGGCGTGACCATCCCCCCTGGGGGGTGATTTCTCGCTTTCTGTCTCTATGTCTCTGTCTGGCGAGCGCACACGCCCTACAGTGAAAATCTCTCAAAAAAAAAAGAAAAAAAAAAAAAGAGAAAGATTTTCCTATATTTAATTATGAGTCTAATATTTACCTGCTTTTTAAGTTTTTTGTTGTTGTTTTTTTTAATTGTCAGATGGTATATATACCGAGAGAAAGGGAGAGGAAGAAAGCACTACCCAGTGGGGAATGGTCATGCTGCAATTCCTTCTCCTCCATTTGTCCACCCTGCTGAGATCTGGGACACACACGTACACAGCCCTGGTATGTTTTTCAAGTTGCATGGACCAGGACTTGATCTGCACAGTGAGTCATGTGTGACAGAGCTTGGACCCAGTTCCCTTAACCACTAGACTATGAGGCCAGCCCTGCTAACAGGTTATTTTTAACTTCATGTATCTATTTTTAATATGTGTAATCACTTATAGAAAGAAAAGATGTATCAAGCCCCTCAAAGTGGAAAAGCACTGTTCACACAAAATAAAAAAACTACTGAGTTGTCAGAAAAGTCATGATGTATTTTTTTTTCTATGCAAAAATCTATCATGACTTTTCCGAAAACCCAATGCTATGTCTAACAGTAGGACAGAGCCGCCACCTTCCCGAAACCTGTCTTGAACATACAGTGGCAGCGTCACCAGCTTAGAGACTTCAGACCCCAACGCCACACCTGGGGGAAGTAGTGACAGGATCTAGCTACACAGATTAGGCACTACAAATGTTTGCCAGATGGACAAATGAACACTTAACTTAAAAAAACAAAGGGGGAGGGGCTCTTTCTTTATTCTGCTTTACTTCCATCAAGTGATTAAAAATTCTTTCTTCTTGGGACCAGCAGTTAGCGTAATGGCTATGTCGCTGGACTCCCACGTAGTCGATCGCGGTTCGAGTCCCAGACCCGGTGGCTTAAACTCACGCTGGGCGCGTGTGCATGCATACCCAAGATCCCGAGAGGAGAATGGAGGAGAAGGGATTGTGGCGTGGCCACCCCCCCGGGGGGTGATTTCTCGCTTTCTGTCTCTCCATCTTTCTCTGTCTGTCTGGCAAGCGCACGCGCCCTATAGCAAAAACCTCTCCAAAAAAAAAGAAAAAGAAAATTCTTTCTTCTTTCTGCTATGAACTGAATTGTGCTCCCCCACAATTCATATGTTGAATCCGAACCCCGATGTGGTCGTATTTGGCATAGGACTTCTAGGAGGTAATTAAGGTTAAATGAAGTCACAAGGTGGTGTCCTAACCAGAAAGGACCAGAAGCCTTGTAAGAAGTGAAAGAGAGTTCAACCTCCTCTGAGTGCGCACACCGAGAAAAGGCCTCAGGGGCACACAGTGAGGAGGAAGTCTTACCTGCCAGAGCATGGGGCCCTCACCAGAAACCAACCAAGCCGGCACCTTGGTCTTAACTGTGGATGTGATAAACACATCTCTGTTGTTTAAGTCAACCAGTCTACGGTGTTTTGTTATGACACCCTGAGCTGAGACACTGTCTCTTTTTTCTAAACATTATTTAAGCCGCCTGGTATTGATCATTTTAAAAGAGGTTCCTGGTCCAGCCTGGGGGTGCAGTTGATAACAAACTGAACTTTAGTGCTGGAAGCCACATGGCCCGAAAACACAGCAGAGATATGAGGGTGCTTTCTCTCTTATTCTCTCTGGCACACACACCCTGCCATTAATAATAAATGAAACTTAAATTTTAAAAAAGAGAAATTCCTGCTCTGGACCTTCATAACACCAAGTATCTTGATCAAAAGAAAACAAAAAAGGTAAACAATCCAAGTGGTGGAACACTACAGAATCCATGTAATAATGGAACACCTTCTATATAAAGTTCTACATTTCTTTCTCCTTGCCATGTGTTTTATCATCTGAATACTTTGTGTAATGGTTTTTACCTTTCTTTTCTCCTTTTTTTTTTTTCTTTTTTGGCTTTGTGGTACAATAATTAGATTGTCATAAGATAACATACTCACATGTCTTTAGGTCAAAAATTAAAACCAATGGGACCAGCAGTTAGCGTAATGGCTATGTCGCTGGACTCCCACGTAGTCAACCACAGTTCACGTCCCGGACCCAGTGGCTTAAAACTCACGCCAGGTGCATGTGTGTGCGTGCCCAAGATCCTGAGCGGAGAACAGAAGAGAAGGGATTGCGGCGTGGCCATCCCCCCTGGGGGGTGATTTCTTGCCTTCTGTCTCTCTTTGTCTGTCTGGCGAGTGCACGTGTCCTGTAGCAAAAAAAACCTCTCAAAATAAATAAATAAATAAATAAAACCACAATAGTCAGTGCCTCTAATTATGTAGGACAATGACAGCTTAGAGGAAAAGCCCACTATCAAATGAACCTACCAGAGGTATGGTTCTGTGCAACAAGCTATAATCTGAATAATCTCTTCAAGTTGGCAGGCAGTAGTGAAAAATCAATCTCTATAGATTGTAAAAGTAAATCTCTGTAGATCCGTGAGCTGGACCTTCAGTGAGACAAGCGAAGGATGAACCTAACCGCAACCCAGATCGCCCTCTTTCCTCCTGTGTGGCTCTGTAGCACTGGAATCAATGGCCCCAGTAAGGAAAACAGCGGCCCAGTTCTCCTTCCCTGTGTTCTCCCCGAGTGGCCACCAGGAGGCAGAGCGGTGTCACAGGAAAGTCAAATGCCAGCTTTAGCAAAAAACTACACCTAAGATCAAAATTTGACTTTACTTCCTATTTAAGGTGAAATCTTGAGCAAATCATTCGCTGAGCCTCAGATTTTATCATCTAGAAACAGGAAAAAAGCTTTACAGGAGAGTGAAGCTTATAAAACATCTTGCACAGTATACAATATAAGCGTTCTTTTTCCTAATAATATTAGGTTTCTTTCTTAAACAGAGGAACACTACCAGCCCCCTTCTTGTTCAGCAATTTACCAAAAGTATATTTTGCCACTTTCCAGAGTTTCGGTGTTCACATCTGCAAATCTGTAAAAGCAACAATGCCTTCTTTGCAGTGTTATGAGACCGAAAGCACCATTACAACTGTTGCCAGGTAGCAGTGCTCAAGATGAAGGAGGTACTGTTAAATTTATTGTTGTCACACAAGCACACAGCAAACTAAAAAAAAAACCTGGTAACTAGTGCCCATTATATCCTTCAACACAACATTTAACCAAAATAACTTTTGCAATCTAGGCCACTATGGGTCTTTCCCACTAACCTGAAAATGGGGGCTAGATACACACTTGGCGATTTGTTTAAACAAAGGTTCTTGGATTTTAACAAATTGTGAAGGCTCAATCACATCCAGTATTTCTTCCAGCTCCCCAAGGAACATGACCTATAAAGACAGGTAAAATACAAAATCTGAGGCACTTAATTTAAAAATCCATATGAACAATGAAGATAAATGAGCTTGTGCTGTTTTAAGAAAACTTCGTACATAAAACCAAACATAAGCGAACCAGATATCATCCCATGTTAAAATGTGTTCACATCTCATGATGAATTCAACATACATTAAGTTTTTTTTTTTTTTTTTGGAAAGGTTTTTGCTATAGGGTACATGTGCTTCCAGAAAGAGGGAAACAAAGAGACAGAAACTGAGAAATCACCCCCCAGGGAATGGCCACACCGCAATCCCTTTCTCCTTCATTCTCCTCCCGGGATCTTGGACACACACGAATACGTGCCCAGCCTGAGTTTAAGCCACCAGGTCCAGGACCCAAATCGCAGTCGACTACATGGGAGTCCAGCGATGCAGCCATTACGCCATCTGCTGGTCTCCATTCAGTGCTTATTAAAAATTCCTTATATCATTGAAAATATGATTCTACCCAATTCATTAAAAAATAATAATAACAAAATAAAACCTCAACTGTATATTACATGAAATAATGGGCACTGGGACCAGCAAATGATGTGGTGGCTACATCACTGGACCCCCACGTAGTCAACCGCCATTCAAGTCCCAGACCTGTTGGCTTGAAATTCACACAGGGCACGAGTGTGTGCATGCCCAGAATCCCAAGAGTATGGAGAAGGGATTGCAGCGTGGCCATCCCCTCTGGGGGTTGATTTCTCACCTTCTGTCTGTCTCTCCAGTGAATACACATGCCCTATGGCAAAAATCTCTCTCTCAAAAACAAAACAAAACAAAACACAATGGGCACATACACACTGCACCGAGCCCCTGGGAAACAGGAGCCTCCCTGGGAGGTTTCTCCTCTCAACTCCCAACAGTCCAGCCCCCCATCTCCACCAGACCTTTTCTAAAAAACTAGTGGGAGGGTGGCCTTCCTGCATAGATGTGCAAAAGTTCACGGTCATTTGCCAAATGGTTACAGCCCCTGGTATGCGCCCGGTACTCCTCTGTGATACAACAGTCAAGTCTGAGAAACACGAGTGAACCCATTCACACACGAGGCTGCTTTAAACTCATTAGCACAGCTAACCCGTTCTCTACACTCACACACACTAGGCACGCCCACACCTGCACACACACAGCTGTCCTCTATCAAGCACAGTGAATCTCGTGGCCTCAGCATTTTGTGCCTCAACGAACAAAACTTTTCAATCATGATATGGAACCCAAATCAATGTTATAGTCAACTGTGTTAAAGATAATGAAAAAAATGACAAAGAAAAAAAAAAACAGTTACCTATTTAGCCTTTAAAAACTCGTTACTTCAGAAAATAAGTACACAATTGAAATAGGGAAAATGACAATGTTTTCATATCTTGAGATGCACCTGGGTAGCAACACATCATTTAATTTTACCTAGGAGGTCTTAAGAAATTAGATGATTTTTTTGTAACTGTATAAAGTAGGATTTGGAGTATTAAAGCTGACTTAAGTGTTTCTGTTAAAAGCAAAGCATAGGAAACCCTTGCATTTATCAAGGTACACACAAAGTTCTCTCAAAATTCACCCAAAATATAAAATTAAGAGATGACCTTTTGTTCTGAGCCATTTCCACATAGTTTCTAACATGTCAGAAGAGTGGCTGCAGCCCAGATGTCTGTTAGGCTCACCTATAAGCCTGTAAGACTTATTCTTCCAGCGCACACACACACACACACACAGAGTAGTAAATGCCTGGTGAATTCTCAGCAGTGGTACAAACGATTGTAGATTGTAGATCTAGACTCTCCAAGGCCATTTGTGAATAGTTGAGACTAAAGGCCTATTGTATATTTTAAGGTTATACCTACTAGGTATTGGGGCAAGTTCCTCTAATATCTACAGTGACAGCAAAACCGCCTAAGTATGAAGTGGGTCATTAGAAAAATGACATTAACAGAGCTAGACAACTAGACAGATGACTAGGGGTAGGCCTGGGTTGACCTGAGGCTAAATAGCACAGTGGTTAACTTAGGATTCAAAAGTCAGGGAGGTGGGTGTGGCCTAATCAACATTCCTACTAGTACCTGAGGTAGGCTACATAACTTTTCTAAGACTCAGTTTCTAACTCATAAAGCAAGATTTACAATCTTGCCTGACAGAGCTACAATGAGGTTTAGATGATATAATGCTCTTTTTTTTTTCCCATGACAAATAAGAGGGCCAGCCTTATGGCCTGGTAGTTAAGGGAACCTGATCCCACTGACTGATCAAAGTTAAAATCCTAGCCCTGGTAGCTTGGAAAATACACCAGGCACATGTGCATGCGTGCTCCAAATCCCAACAAGACAGAAATGGAAGAGAAGGGATTGTAGTGTGACCACGCCCATTGAGGGGTTGCTTTTTCCCTGTATGTCTCTCTCTGATGAGTGCGCATACTCTGTGGCAAATTAAAAAGAGAGAATGAGAGAGAGAGAAAGGGGAAAAAGAGAAGGATTTTTTAAAAAGGTTTTTGCCCTAGGGGGATGTACGCTGAAGACTGACAGAGAAAGTGAAAAATCACCCCTCAGGGGCATGGCCATGCCACAATCCCTTCTCCTCCATTCTTCTCTTGGAATTTTGGGGACAAATGCACACATGCCCAGAGTGAGTTTCAAGCCACAAGGTTTGAACCTCAGTCAGTCATATGGGAGTCCAATGCCTTGGCCACCTTGCCACCTACTGATCCCAGAAAATGTTTTTTTTTAATTTAATTTTATTATTATAATTTTAAATTTTGCCAGAGGGTACATCACTCACCAGAAAAAGAGAGAAAAAAAGAGGAAAAGTGAGAAAGCACACTGCCCTGAATGGGGCATGGTCATGCCACCATCCCTTTTTGTCCATTTCTTCCTTCTCTGGGAATTTTGGGTGGGTATACACACCCAGCACATTTCTCAAGCCATCAGGTCCGGGATTTGAACAACAAAGTTAGCCACGTGAGATCCAGCCACCTTAACCAACACAACACTAGCTGGCCCCAATGAGGTATTTTTGAAAGGGTCTTGCTGTGCCATGACTCTCCCTCCCCACTAGGTATGTATCACTGCACCAGGCCTGTTCACATTGATCTAGGAATTGAACCCAGACTTCCCAGGCAGTGGAACCACATGCAGGAGGCACCCTACCACGTTCAGCACCACAGCTAGGCCTAGATGATGCATCTTTATGAGTACTTGGCCCGATGCCTGGCATTCAGCAAAGTGAGCTGTTAACACTTGGGACATTAAGCACTTACCTCTTTTTGACTACATGTTTTAGGCCAAAACTTCATTAACCCCCTAATGACCTAAAATGAAAAGCAGAAAAACAAATGACATTTAATTTTTCATAATTTTCACTTCTAGGAAAGGTAGTTTTCTAAAGTTTTTTTGAAATTAAGGAAAAAAAACACTTACTGGTTCTGTGAGTGAAGGATCTTTCTCCAGAAACTGTACTATACAATATGCCAGCTAAAGAAACAAACAAACAAAAAATTATAAATTCTATATAGTAAGGGCTCAAAAGATCTATTATTAAAACTTCCTAAAAAGTTTGCAGACTCTAGGCCCAGCTACGGTGGCACAAGATGGAAGGCTCAGCTGTGAAGTGGCTGAGGCCCATGGGAGGCCTAGGTTTGTTTCCTAGGTCAACCTAAACAGGCCTGGTACAGTGACTCACACCTATGATCTTAGCTAACTGGGAAGCTGGAGCAAGAGAATCTCAATATGATGTCTAAAATCACAGCCCCCTCTCATTAATATATTTTTTTTAAATCTAGATCTCTGATTTTAATAACCTCACATTCAATTTATTTTAACTATCATAAAAATAAAATACAGGGACCAACAGTTAGCGTTATGGCTATGTCACTGGACTCCCATGCAGTCGATTGTGGTTTGAGTCCTGGACCTGGTGGTTTAAACTCAGGCTGGACGCATATGCGTGTGTGCCCAAGATCCCGAGAGGAGAATGGAGGAGAAGGGATTGTGGGGTAGCCATCCCCCCTTGGGGGGTGATTTCTCGCTTTCTATGTCTCTTTCTGGCGAGCACACGCGCCCTATAGCAAAAACCTCTCCAAAAAAATAAATAAAAATAAAATACATATAGTACCAAATTAAAAAAAATTTTTTTTTCAAGCCAAAGACTGATATTAATAAGGCTTCAGGGAAATGCTATTAAAAACTGTACTAGGACATGAAGTATCCAGCTAATGGCAAGCAGAAATGAAATGTCGCAGTGTATTCTAAAAGTATCTCATCTACATAAAGACTGAGCTACATCTCACCACTGGCTTCTTTTCTTTGCTAATGTCTACAGTACTGGGTCTTACTGAGGCCTATACAGGAAGTAGGCCTTTTCTGAAAACCTGGCTGATTGCCTGAAACGAAACATGCAAACTAATGCAGTTTTATTAGGAGATAAAAGGTTATACTTGCCAGTTTAGAATCTGGAGAAATGGGAAAAGATCTGACACTAACACATCTAAGTAAAAATTCTTTTAAATGAGTATGAAATATGATATCCCATTTCAAAATCTAAAGGCAAGATTTGTAAAAGGGCTTGTAAAGATTCCTGGACCAAAAAAATACCCTCACAAAACAACGTTTTGATGATGCTCTAAATCAGAAACATATGGACTAATTTTTTTCCTCAAAACACAGAATTTCACATTTAAAAAAAGGACACTGCTTAGAAAAACGTGTTACATTTTTTAATGCAAGCTCAAAACATTCCCATGGGGGGAGGGGAAGAGGGAATCAGAGGCTCCAAATACTAAAATTAAAAATACCACTTCATCATGTATCTACCCCTAGTGACATGCTTACCATGCAAGGCAGTGTTAGCACGGGGATTAGAATGGGGACAGACAGGGTATGCTAATGAAGGCTAAAAAAAAAATCATAATGTGAAAACACTGATTGGTTTACTTGTGAGAGTGTTTATTTGTATGTAGAGAAGTGAAGAAAAAATGGTGGAAGAACTAGAAGAGAGGGCAAAACGAAAACTGACAGGCTAATATAAAGTGAGGATGAAATAAAATGTTCAGAAACATTAAAAGATGGTATAACATGTTCGGAGATCTAAACATGAACAGCCCACGTACACTGCATTATATGCCATTTGTTCAATGATTAATTATGTGATCTTGGGCAAGTCACCTAAGTTCTCTGTAAAATGAGATGACTGAACAAAGGCTCTTCCCACTTTAAAACTACTCCCATGATTCTACTGTGCATAGAAAAAATATAGACACGCTTTTATTTACTTGGGGAGTATTTTAACAATTTTTTTAAATTAAGGAAATGTCAAAATCAAACACTAATTTGCAAACTTTTTATTTTGCTTCCAAAAGTAGTCGTACAAAATTCTACCTGGGCATGGAAGAGTGATAAGCTCCTGACAGTGTGTAAAGGGATCAACACTTTCACCAGAAACTGTTTGTGTTCTGCCTTAAGAGGTAAAGCAAAGCCATTGATAATACTAGGAAAAAGAAAAGAGACACGAATTAGCAATGTTACCACAACAAGCTAAACTGAGACGAACTGCCCTTGTGAGATTGGTTAAACTTCATCAGTTCACATTTGCCCAAAACCACCCAAAACCCACCCCACTGGCATTCAAGATTTCTTAGTCACGTCAAAGAATACATTTAAAAGTTACTTCAAAGAACATATTTATTAAAAGAAAAGAAGGAAATCTGCTTGTGATCACCCAACAAAGGCTCCTGTGTTCTTATCTAGTCAATGGTTCTCAAAAATTCTTTATTTTCTTCACCCGCTTTTCCTTCTCCAAATAATCATCTGCCTTGCTCACTTCCTCTTTAAATAAGACCCTTTCCATTTCCAAACATCATTCCTTCTCATTCCTGAAATTTCTGCCCAGTCTAGGGAAGTCACTGAGAAAAAAACTGATGTGATTCCACCTTCTTTAACTCCTCATATTAGGAGGAAAAGCTAGGTTATCCCTTATCCAGCCATATTAGCCTCCCTTGTGATAGAAACTCACACATCAGCTGTCTCTTTCCAATTAATTCCACTATTCCAGGCAGCAGCTGTTCAATAACTATATCTGGGTACATGGTCACCTCAAAAATGGCAATCTTCCCAATTTATTATAAACTTGCTTTCAACAGATATGGCAATGGACAGGTAGCCCAAAAAATGATGCGAATAAGATGTTTTAAAATCACTGGCCTGACCACAATTAGAAGTACTGTCTCTGCTGTAATAAAGGAACTGTTAGCTCTTTCAGTTATTCCAGTGGCATTAGCAACACATATCTCTGGAACGAGGGAAACAGGAACTCATGTCTTGTAGAGTCAGTTGGGAAACATGCTAAGTGCAAATGAGAGACCCAATATACATACCCAGCGTGAAGTATGTGCCCTGCACCACCTGAACCTAATTTTCAGAATGATAATTCATCTGAGATTAGCAATTAGATAAAAAGTGTTTACCTTCCTAATATTTCCAGCAGTTCGGCTACACCATTGAAGTGTTCTGTTTCATAAACAAACCTTAAAGAAGAGAAAAGAGAAAATGGAGGGGAGAGGGGAGTGGAGGGGGAGAATAAAGTCAGTACATCATGTTCAAATATTTGAGATTTACTTAACATTTCTTAAATACCAGCTCTGCTTTTCCTTCTCCCTCCACCCCTCCACTTACCTTAGAAAAATATTGTTAATCTGTTTTCGGATAAATGCTCTAAGACCAAGAAACTTGCCATAAATTCTGTGTAAGACTGTTTTTAAGTAGTCCCGTTCCCGAGGGTCTTCACTGTCAAATAGCTCCAGGAGCTGTTGTAAATGAAAACAGTATAGCTGTCAAAGGTAGTTTCAGGAAGAATTTAAGATTCTCTCACTCATTATTTTTTTTCTTTTTCAATTACCAAAGGGCACTCGTACTTGCCAGAGAGAGAAAGAGTGGCAGAGAGGGAGAATGTACTCCCCAAAGGGGCATAGTCACACTGCAACCCCTTCTCCTCCATTTCCCCATCCTGACAAGATTCTGGGCACATAATGTACACACACCTGGCATGGTTATAAGTCAGTGGATCCAGGACCTGTCCCACACAGTCAGCCATGTGGGATTCAGCTCCTTCAAGTGCCAGGCCATGGGACCAGGCTGTATAAGTCATCATTTAAAATCCCCTTCTTTCTTCCTCAAAAAATTTTTGGGTATCTATTATGTGCCAAGCACAGTGCTTGCTAGTTTTGAGGGCTAGGGTAATAAGTAAGCCAGACAAGGGGTTTATATTCTAGTGAAGAGATATACAATAATAGTAATAACAATAATAGTAATAGCTAACACATGAACAGTACTTACTATGATCATCGAGCAATTTTCTAAGCCATCTACACATATTACTCTTACTATAGGGTGGTTTTATTCCCATTTTACAGAGGTGGAAACTGGGGCACAGAAAATTTAAGTAATTTGCCTATGGTCTCACAGCTAAGTAGCAGAGCTGTGATTTGAACCCAAGCAGTCAAAGCCCAATGACCATGATCTCAACAACTGTGCTATGCTACCAACTTAGGCAGGAGTGCCCATGACAGATTTGACAGTACCTACTTACCCTATTAGTAGTCTACCCCAATAGGAGATGCTATTAATAACACTCACCATCTCTCTATCCGTTTGGCAATAGAATAAAAAGCTATGTACTGAGATCTTTCTGTATTTCAGGGATTATTCTCATTGCCAGACACACACATCATTGAACAAAGCTGGAGATGACTAGGGAAGGCGATGAACACATTAACAATACACAGAAAACCACCCTATCTAGAAGAGGCAAGTGGCCACAACAGTCCCCCCCAAAAAAGCTCCATATGGGCTCAATGTCTCTTTATCTATGACATACTCTAAATGACACCAGATCTCTAGTCCACCCATCCCATTCCTTGTTAATGGAAACAATTAGCTTTTTAAAATTAATTTTTAAATTTGGTTTCTATTTTAAGTGTTGTAAAGGAAATTAATGAGTTATTTTCAATGAACATAGAAGGTTTGGGAGTGTGCAATATTATTAAAACTTGAATCAACTATGCTTATGTATTGTTAATATCGAGTTTAATCAAAACACAATAATTAAAAATTATTTCATTAGGTTCTCAAAGAAAATGCATTACTAGGCACCTAACTTTAGTCATTTAACAAAGCCACAAATATTGACTATATCATGTTCTTTGAGAAAGATGAATTGCAGCAATAAACTATTTTTTGGCACTCTAAAGAACATACTTTTGACAATTTTAAGATGTATGAGACAAGAGTAAGTACAATAATGCATAGGCTAAAAAAATAAATAAATGAACAACAACAACAAAAAACAATAGTAGAATAATCTCTGGTTTTCAAAGGAAAATGAGGATGCTTAGTTATATATACTCCCAAACATTTCTCACCCCCAAAATTTTTAAAAAAGCAATACAGTCCAGCATTTGTAAATGCCTAGGTAGATTACACCATCCACCATCTAATAGATAGCTTGCTGTCAAAGAAAAGAAGCCAGAGTTTTCCCAAGGGGGTTACAGAGCGAAGACAGATCCGTCAATATGAAGACTCCACGTTTATAAAAACTAACCTTCCTGAAGTTAACCAACAGAAATGAATCATACAATAATACCATCATGGAACCCATCTTTGAATTTAATACTAAATCTACAGAGAGATAAGAAGGGCAAAATGAAAAAGGCAGAAAGGTCTTTTAGTTAGACATGAGAGATTAAACCTATCTCCTCTTAAACCCTCTCTGAGTTGTCAGTAAAGAATTAAAAATGGAAGAAACTCACAGAATAGAGAACTGGAGAGAAGATATGACATGTTTGTAGACTTTTCAAAGATGGAAAGTGGATGACAAGAGGTTGCTATCTTAGGTTTCCTCTTTCTCCATTCTGCCAAGTATTTTCCCATACTGCCAGCAGGGAAGGAAGCCAACAATAAGCAGGCCAATGTAGACCAGAGAACCCTTAAAAGGCTTCAGAACTAAAGGTGCCAGATATATTTGATGACAAGGATGTGAGAAGGAGCTAAAACAGGAGGACTTGTTGAATGTTTATAGAAGAATAACAAGACCTCCCAGATCCCTGTTCTATGCAATGTACTGAAGATGTATAACTAAACTCTGGGAGAGACTACATTGGCAGGTATCTAGTCCTGGAAGCAACACACACAGCTACATGAAACACTTACTGAAAACAACAGGATAAAATAAATCTCTGCATACTGAAGAATGAGACCTTTGCCAACCCTCTTGACTGAGCTCCAAATCTGTACAAGGCAGGAAACTATAAGGTCCCTTTTTGAGGAAACTGGTAGTCTCAAGAGAAAAGCCCCATAAATATATTAAACATCTAAGGGCTTCCCAATTTCCTGCCAATTATCCTTTGAAGGTCACCAGTTACGAGTGTCGCCTGTGCAAACATAAAAACACAAGGGTATACACACGCATAGGCATAGATTCTAAGTAGCCTTTTGGTAGACTAACTATAGCTAAGAAGTGAAGGATCACCTGACATTCAAACATAAAAGACAGAGACCAAAGCAAACAATTATAAGAAACTCAGAGGAAACAGGCATAATGCAAGGAGTAGGAAAAGGAAAAAAAAAAACAAACAAACAAACAAACAAAGCAAAACAAAACAAACAGCAAAAACCGAGACTGTAACATCCTCAGAGAGGAGATAGTGGGATCCCTGAAACAAAAACAGAATACTATTACAGGTGAATCTTCAGAAATTAAAAGGTTTTGGGAAATTCACAGAATAGCAGAAATAACCATTTCAGAAGTATTGGAGCATTAACTTGAGCAAATCTACTTCTGAAAGTATAATTATAAGACAAAGACTATAATATAGAAGAAAGATTAGAAAACTAGAGGATGTGTGCAGATCTAATACAAGAATGATAGACACTTCAGAAAAACACTGAGAAAAAGAAACAGAAAATAAAGAAAAGGAAATTATCTGAGGAAGAATTCAATGCAATTTTCTAGGGGAAAAAACGACATAAATTTCAATATACATATGGTCCATTAGGTGTTCTGAACAGTAAATGAACAAAGACCTACACACCAAGTTTCTCAACTTAGAAAAGTTCTCAAAAGCTTACAGAGAAAATGGGTTAAAAAATAAAGTGCTCAGCTGGTGTGGGCCTTCTCAATACTAACACTGGATGCTGGAAAACAATGGAGCAATTCCTTAAAACACCTGAGGGAATGAGTTTCAAACTATAAATTCATACCAAGCCAAAATGTCCTCTAATATTTCAGCAGAATAAAGATGTTCTCGGACGAGTGATTCTAGAAAGCTAACATCCTGTTGATGTGTTCTTAGGAGTTATCTAGAGGATATGTTATATCAAAATGGAAAAGAAAAATTTCAACATGCAAAGACACAGTCCAAAGTGTGTCAACGGGAAGTCCCAGGATAACTTCTGTGGATATGGCCTAGAGGAAGCAACCAATTTAAGCAGGATGACTAGGACTCCAGGAAAGAGGCCTCAAGTCGGGGAGTGGGGGGGGAGGCGGGGCAGGGGGACAACAGCAGAAAAGTGATAAGATTACCTGATGTGTGGCCACCCTGAGAAGAGTTGTATGATACTCTCAGAGAATTAAGAGAAGAAATAGTGACCGATACACAGGAAAGCAAGAAAGTTTTTTTAAAAAAAAATGGCAACTACTCATTTCAGGGTTGGGACCAGCAGATGGCAAAATGGTTACGTTGCTGGACTCCCCCACATGGCCAATCGCGGTTGGAGTCCTGGACCTAGAGGCTTCAAACTCACGCCAGGCACCAGGCATACGTGCATGCATGTCCAAAATCCCAAGAGGAGAATGGAGAAGGGATTACAACATGGCCATCTCCCCAGGGGGTGATTTCTCACTTTCTGTCTCTCTGGCCAGTGCATGGCCTACAATGTGCATGCCCTACAGCAAAAATCTCTCTTTAAAAAAAAAAAAAAAAATTTCAGGTTTAAGAAGAAAAGCTGTACAAGAAAAGAAATATAATTATGTGCTGTGGGTATGAGCAACATAGGTACATCTATGATAATATAAACACAATAATTTGATTTAATTTGTATAGTGTAAGTACACTGAATGTGGAAGAAACTAGACAGATAGTGGCTTTTTAGTAGGCAGTCAATAGCCAAAATCTAAAATGAAAAATAAAGATAGCAGTATTTGTATGACATTTAAAAATATGAAGATAAATTTATGGAAATAGGAGTTAAATGTCATTACCTCCAGAGAGTAAGACTCTGAGTTGGGGAAGGATGAGGCAGGGACTGTCTTTTTTCATTATAAGCCATATAAGTATACTTGAAATTTTAAAAATGCATAACTCTGTTCATTGAAACAATTTTTAAAAGTCATTAAGAGCCAAGGGCAGGACTGCAAAGCAAAAAAATCTTGTTGCCCACTCCTATAATAAAAAAGGCATTTCTCTGTCTTAAAATTTTTCTCTAACATTTTAGAAAATATCAGAAATCTTTAAGTAGATAATCAATGAAATAACTATTTCCATCCTATCACAGAACTCTAAAATCAGAGCTCCACATTTCTGGCTTTGTTTGTGATGTTAGCTATCCACCACAAGAAAACTGAATATCTTCCTCATATCGTTACCTTGAGGAAATAATGTACATGGAGACAACAGCACCGAACCAAAAATCAAGAGCCAACAGCTGCCTTAATCAAAATGATTCAATGAGTCCAGTGAATCAGAAAGACTCAAGGGGACCACTATATGAAATGAGGCAACCTACGGGCAACCACTCAGAAAGCACAGTG